GAGGCAGGAGACTCGCTTGAGCCCAGGAGTTGGAGGTTGGTGTGAGCTGTAATGCCATGGCACTCTACCCAGGGGAACAGCTTGAGGCTCTGTCTCAAAAAAAAAAAAAAAAGTCCCCTTCTTATTTTCTAATCACTTACAACCACAATGGAGGTAATTACTTCTAACGGTTTTTCTGGTATCCTAGAAAATTTTCATGCAATACATAGGGACTCCTTTACATTATAACCATCTAGAGGGCAAAGAATTTGTAGAACTTTACATTGTCAAGAACAGAGAGCTTGTAAATACCTCTTCCTTTTTTCTTAAATTTTGATTGCCTGCCATTTATTATAAAGCATATAGTGCTAGACTTTGAAGAAATATAAGGTAGTGTAAATATTTCTACACTGAAATTTTTAAGCATTTGTATAGTTGTTTACCTTTTAAGCACTTGTATAGTCATTTACTTCAGGAGCCCTTGTTTTTAGACAGAAAACCGTTTGGATTCATCTGTTTATTTGCCATTCCATTCAGGCAGCTACTGATGTTAAAATGGAAGACATAACTAAACTTTCCCTTCTCCAGAGTTCGAAATTTGAGCAACCCAGCCAAGAAGTTCAAGATTGAGGCCAATGCTGGGCAACTGTACCTGACAGGGGTGGTGGTACTGCACAAGGATGTCAACGTGGTAGTAGTGGAAGGGGGTGAGTCTGACAAACATGAGGGAGATTGTCCCTGGATAACCCTAGGCCTAGAATAATTAGCATTATGGGGAAAAGGGAGAATATGATAGTATTTTAGAGCCATACCTGGGTATAATACTGGGCCTCTATCCTTTGTTTATAGGAATAGAAGGCCCTAAAATGTAGTTCCTGTCTGAGCATTAGATGAGCTCAGAGGTTCTTTCTACCCCATAATCTTCCACAGCTCTGGAAAAATTCTTCTTCTCTGTTTCTAGGCCCCAAAGCCCAGAAGAAATTTAAGCGTCTTATGCTGCATCGGATAAAGTGGGATGAACAGACATCTAACACAAAGGGAGATGGTGAATGGGGGTTAGAGGGGATTAAGTGGGAGAGCTGTGGGAAGTGGGGATGGTACATTAGTCCTTTCATCTTATTGCTTCCCTGTGACACTTGCTGACGCTAGATAGTGTTCAGGAATTTTAGACCCATTTTATGTGAAATTCAGACCCATTTTATGTGAACTTGCTGGAAGTTCATATAATATTATATGATCAGATTCATGAGTGTTAAAAGTTATTCTTCTGGCTCGGCGCCTATAGCTCAACCGGCTAAGGCGCCAGCCA